CTAAGTTAGAGGAGGTTGACTCGCAGCACTTCAACACGCATGTTTTTTCCGTGGCATGGGCGTTCGATTTAAAATCGAAATCGTGACACCCTTATCAAATATGTACTATTGTGTTAACATTTTATTGGCTAAAAATGCATTAGAACACGTTCACCTCGATGACGAGTTCATTCAGAATCAGATACATATAGCAGGTCGGCTGACTCGATTTCCTTCTCATACATTCCCGTAGCGGCAGAGTGCATTTTCCTGTTGAAGCCGAGCGTCCATTGACTTCATTGGGGCTGCTTTGAACAGTTTTTTTCAGTGCTTCGAAAGTAGATGACCATTGGATAAATGTTGCGGTTATGGGAACATTTAACATCCTCTGGTAATGGTAACAAGCGCCCTCTGGTAACATTCCATTTTAATGTTACAGGGGCATGGTCACTAATGACCGTTGGATGGATCTATGATTCAGAAATATTTGATATTATAAAGTTACTGGTAAGAAAGAAATCAATGCAGGAATTTGAGTGGTGAACTGGTGAAAAAAATAGTATTCTTTAGCATTTGGATGCTGTAGCTGCCAACCATCACCAAGACCAAAATCACTCATGTACTGTTTTATGGTTTCTGTAGATTGCCAATTGTGTTTATTGATTCGAATATTAGATCTATCTATTGATGGGTCGAGAACTGTGTTGATGTCACCTGCTATTATGACTGGACAGAGTTTGAAATGGAAGGGAAAAAGGTCTGAAAAAGAAGAGCCAATTGTGTTTGGGCCATATAGATGGTTGTTATTACAACTGGGTTCGGCTATCGCGCCGGCGCGACGAGCTCACTTTTTTTCTTATCAGTGCAAAAGAGACTCAAATTACTCTGTTGATTTTGATCTTACATATAAGTGTTGTACATCATTAGATCCTAAAAACAAAGTGTTCTGCTTTTTGTCAAATTAAGAAAAAAACATGATGCGAATTTTGCCTTCTCTCTGTCAGTGAAGTTCATTCTGAAATGCGTCTGAAAATGAACTGTAACTAAGTAAATACTTGTCACACAGGCACGAAAGATTTTTCGTTATGAAGCTGAAATTCTCTTCTTTTAAATGAAGTAATTTATATAAAAAAACAAATATTCTCAGTTTATGTAATCTGTATGAAAAGAGAGAGATGTCAGTCTTTTTCCTTTCAGCTAATTATAGCTTATTTATAATTAGCTGAACAACATCCATTAGTCAAAAGTCTTGTAGACACATATTTAGTATGTGTTTTGTGGCCTTATTTCAGAAACGTTAATTTTTAGTTTTTTCAATACCAATGCATAAACAATATTCTCTCAAATACAAACATGTACATACATGTTGCTCACATATTATGGTAGCCCTGTTTGTGCTAAATAGAGTGTAATTACACCTGTGCCATTAATATGTTTATAAGCAACTGAAAAAAGCACAAATGGCAGGGCATGTCAAAACATCTCAAGGACCCCAAAAACACCTTAGACCCCAGAGGTTTAATAGGTCTAAAAGAAAAAGCTCACTGAAATGTTAATGTTAATGAAATTTATTGTTTTTTTTCATCCCATTTTACCCAATATAATAAAACAAATGTAATTTAGGCTGACTGCAATCATTACACACATGACTGACAGCCTTCTGTTATAAAGCAAGGCAGGCCTGAGACAAATAGAAAGACTTCTTGGATACATAAAGAAAACTCCTTGATACAAAAACAAAAACTTTTGCAAATAAAACTGGTATATAAAATGAAAATAAATAAACAATAGGACAAATACAATAGAAAAAATATACATAATTAATTCAGCCTAGGTTTATCTAACATGTAGTAAGAAGTACTACAGAAATTGAATAATCAAATGTAAAAAAAATAAGACACAGTATAATCGTCACAGTATGGAATATAAATTGATTGAGTCTTCACAGTATGGAATATAAATTGATTAATAATGAAGATACTAAAAGTGATTCAGTCAAAACCAGTGAGTGATTTTCTCTTTATTATTATTAAATTAACGAAACTGACTGCAATAGTTAATTAATACTGCACAATTTAGAAAATCAATTTCTGAAATTTGTGAATCGATGCGAATCGGCAGAAGATAAATTTGCGATTCATATGTGAATATTCATATGTGAATCGATGTTCCTCCACCCCTGGTGCATGGCTGTATGCGTTTGAGTGTATATATCTGTGCAGTTGTGACTGTGCACTTAATATTGAACAATATTATTGATTTGACTGTACTGATGCTGTTCGTTGACATCACTGTTTTCTCCAGAGCTGCTGTATAGATAAATTAACTATATTAATAACTAATGATTTTTACAACGGAAATGAATCAACACTAAACTTACTTAAGCTGGACTGTGATACTATTTTCTTCTAGATCTGCTGTACAGCCAAAACAAACTTTGTTGCATTATTTTCCTCTTATGACTGTAAAGCTGCGTTGAAACAATCTGCATTGTAAAAAAGCCCTATACAAATAAAGGTGGCTTGACTTTACATATGCGTGGGTGCATAACATGGCAGTGCTGTTGGCAAAACTACAGATACACAAAAGATAGAATGTACACAACAGAACAACAACACCAATACAGAAACCATTAAATACAGACATAGTGTATAACAGGTGGAGTCGGAAGGGCACGAGACCCAAGTGCAAAGCAAGAGCACATCTTATAGATTTAAGCGAAAGAACAAGAGAGAGAGAGAGAGAGAAGGGATGGGTAGTGGTGGTGTGATTATAAGTTTATGATCATGGCAGGTTTTGACACAAGAATGGGAGTGTAGGGCTCAAAAATGCCAGAAGGAAATGTCCTTATCACGATATAATTGTCCATCTATGTATAATTTGTCCAATGGTTGTTTTTTTTCCTTCATTTATCATCTGTTTCCAGATTGGGAAAAGATGTTTTCGATGTTCAAGAATGTCCTTTGGGTATTGCTCGTTGAGTCTGTAGTTTGTGCCTTTGAGATGTCTGGCTTGCCTCTGAATCAGCTCTTTTTGTTTATAGTGTTCAAATGATCAGATTATCGGTCGTGGTCGATTGCTGTTGTTTTGAGATCTAATACGGTGCACACGGAGAAAGCTGGTAATCTGCACAGTTTCGGCTGGTAATTTGAGTCGTTTTCTCATAAAGTCCTTGACTGATATTTCAGGGTCGTCTGGAGTTTGTTCCTGTGAAAACGAAATTGTCCCTCATGCTGCGGGTTTGCAAGTCCAGAGTGCTCTCGTTCATGGCTTTGTTTTCTGTGATAATGTAGGGGAGTTGAGTTGGTGAGTGCTTAAAAAATGATTTACTATGGTGAGAGTGTCTATCTGTTCTTGGCTGAATTCCAGGCAGTGCCGCAGTTCCTGGAGTGCAATCCTGGCGATCCAAGTCCGGAAAGTTTATTTTCAATGGAGAGCATAATGTTGCTTACCTCAGTGCAGCAATGGCGGTCTAGGTGATGTGGATTATGTTGGACCTGGGCTGGAGAGTGAATCGGGATGGGGAATCTTGGAGTTTGGAGTCGGGTTACCTTTACATTTTTTGGTTGTCTGGTTTGTCCCTGTTAATGGAGCAGCAGAATCTATGCATGTATATATATTCCTCATGGTGATTCAGGTTGTATTACGTTAAATTCCAGGTTTTAAATGGGAGAAAGTGCAAAAAGCACTATAATTCTGCTAATTATAAATATTTTCCACTGCATTAATTGTGGATTGAACGGTGGTTGTGGTGGAGCTTGAGCCGGAGCTTTCTGGATCATCAGAGAAATTACCTTCAATGTCTTTGTGAATGTGGTAGTAATACAGGAAGAGGAAAAACCCTGAAAAAAAATACCAGTAGAACATATTTCAACTAATTAATAAACATTTCAGATAACATTAAAGTAATTTGTATAATTTTTAAAACGTAACCAAAAAAAAAAGCACAACCAAATGTTTGCAGTTTGCATTGCAAACATCCATGTCGGAGCCGTGTGATTGTTTCTCACCCTGAAACGAGTTCAACACGGTGAAGATGTAATATGAGGGGATGAGCATCGGTCCATAACTGAAGAACGCCACAGCCCACGTCAGGCCGAAGAGCAGGAACAAGCTCAACACCATCATGAGCTGCTTTCTGAACGTCTTTCTCCTGCCGTCAGCCGCTTTTATGTGTCGGGCTTGGACAATCTTAGTGACGATCATGATGAAGATTCCTGTCGTGAAGATGAAGACTAAAGCGTAGTAGCCAATGTTCACTATGTAGTGAATTAACGGATCTGTAATCCAGCACCTATAATTAGAAGAAAAGAGACAATATTGACATGTTAAAAGCTTCATCATTTCATGCACTTGTGACATCAGAACAACTTACATTTGTGTGGTTTTTCCAGATGTTGCGTTTATAATCATTGCTTTATATCCTCCTGATGAAACAACAGCTATGACTATTGGAGCCGGAAACACTGAAAGCACACGGAGACAAGGGTTATTATAGGTAACTACAAAATATTAATAAAAATTAAAATAAATTAAAGCTGCAAGCAGCATTTATCGGGGTTCAAGCGTTTAAGGCCTTTAAGCACATAAGCATTAAAGACATTAAGTTTTATTTGAGCAAGCATTTAACCAGTGACATCATAGATGGAAAAGACCATTTACAGCCAATAAAGGCAATTTACCATAAGGAATACATGGTTTTCAAAGCTTTTTAACAGTTATAGTGCCACCTATGGTCCGATCTCCATAATATTTGGCATGCTTTTTAAGGATGTTATGTCACATATGCTCACCAATTTTTTTTTGTTAAATAGTTTTCGTATAGGATTTATAGGCTTTTGACTTAATTTTGCCACGGCCGTTTTATAAATGACCCTGTTATAGCCAACCAAATGCCGAATTTCAACTTTTTTGGGATAATTATTGATCTAGAGAGTCCAGAGAAATGTCCTAGACTGGTTTGGTTCCAATCGGGCGAAAAACCTAGGACTAGTTCGCAAAAGTAGGTTTTGGACACTCACTCCAGCCGAACACGGTGATCTTCCTCATGTAGTTTGCGATGGTGACGTTCTGTCTGATGAGCCATAAGTACATATGAAGAGCTTGAATGAAGAACCAGGTGAATGTAGTCAGCATTGAGTAATGCATGAGCAGCGCTATGAAGACGCACGCAGCCTTGTCTTCTGTGTTGGCGACGCTCTCGTTTGACAAAAAGGATAAATTCAGGAGAAACAAAGCCACAAACATGTTCATCAAGATCTTCGTGGCTTGATTTGATTTGGCTTTCCTGTTCAAATATAAAAACAACCTGTATTTGTAACATGCATTTATGCATTTTGCAGATGCTTTTATCAGGGTTCTCAAGTCTCACGCATTGGCCGTGAGACACACGCAATTCAACCAGTTCACACGCTCACACGCCACACCGTGTATATCTCACGCTGAAAAGGCAATGCCAACCAAGTTGTCCTGCAAGCTTTATATATAACGTTGTATACGAGGCGCATGCACACAAAGATAAGTTTCCTGCCGCCAGCGCGTCCGCATCTCGGCCAGATTGCGTTCGTTACTAGGCAACTTATAGACGCGCGAAGTCCGCGAACACACACGGAAGTTCGGCCACCGCGACATCGCGCGAACACACGTCGTGATGAGAAAGTAAGTTGGAAGAAAGCTCGCCTAACATTTGTAGACTAGAACATTTAATATATAGCCCATCGTATACATTATTGATGCAGTCAAAAACTCTACAACTGCTTTGCAACCCAACAGCTTTGGCTCAGTTTGGCTAAGGAAATGTTATTGGGTATGGGAAGGAATGAAGATGTATTTCTTCAGTTTATTTTAAATTCTATATTATACTGTATTAATAGTATTTCTAGTTACATTAAGGCTAAAGCAGAGTGCTCTTGGTAATATTGTATATCCTGTCAAAACATACATTAGCCTAATCATTGCCATTGCATTTGTATTTTTCAAAGATGTCAGGGAAAAATGCAAAAATATTTGTTTTTCCAAACATTTTGGAGCAATTTGTAGCCTAATTTTGAAATATAACATTAAAGAGTAGGCCTATATTTGATGTGATGAATTCCTTTGTCATTTATCAGATTTACCAATTGTTATAATTTCAATTTTTGCTGGTTAATTATGAACAATGGGTAAAATTGGGGGCGGGTAGGCGGGGGCGGGGCTCCATTTAGGCTCCTCCTCTAACCGCATGTGATCTCACTCCAAGCTTTTGATAAAACTTGAGAACCCTGCTTTTATCCAAAAGAGGAACAAAAGCAGCTGGTCAAAAAACTTAAAGTGACTGTATGTTATATTTTAAGACACTCTACCGTAATAGGAAATGCATGAACAGAGCGACGGACAGAAAAAACATGGAGATGCCGCAGCCGATAGAAGTGATGAAGCTCAATGATTCCACATACAAAGCTGTGATGTTTGGATTTACATCTGGAGGAGACTGAGAGATCAGAGAAAACACAACAGAAATAAACAGATCAGCTGGAGGATTTTTACTATCATTTCCACATGTCATCATGTTATACTTCAAAAGAAATCAAGACACACAAGCTCCAAAATGATGAAGGAATATGTGCTCAACTTTGCCAAGTCTGCAGTTAAAAATCAGATTTCCAAAGTCTGAATATGAAGTCAAATACTCCCAAGTTCAAATTATCTGAGCTGCTCCTTGTTTATTTTATAGTTGTAGTTAGTATAACTGAGTTGACTGTTAGTAGATGTCTCAACTACAACATTTGGCTGCAATGATTGACCTCTATTCAAAAGTAGGCAGATAGATAGATTGATAGAACAAATTTGATCATTTAAATGTACACTATGTAACTTTTGGCCCTCTAGCAGTTAAAAAAACAAAACTGCGTGTATTTAGCAGAAGAATATTGTTTTGATTGTGCTTCGGCTCTGCGCGGATGAATATGGTTATCCTGCTGCTCATAAAACATTCTCTACTAGGATTAAAATATATAATCAGTTTAGATGGAAAAGATCTCAAGCTGACTAGCTGAAGACAGTACTGTAGCTTTGCCTATTAATAGACACAATACTTCTTTGAAAATAAATTCCAGCACAGTGTTACAACAACCATAATGAGATAATGCTTTACAGTCAGTGAACTCTGTTAGAAAGCTGCATATGGTGGTTTATCTGTTCAATAAAACATTTAAAATCCCTCAGTTCTCGCCATTTCTGAAAAGCCAAGCCGATGTTGATTCTTGTTCCCTTTCGAAAGGGAACTCGCACTATTGGGGAACGCCTCCTTGTGAACCGGTGTCTGAAACGCTTATCCAATCACGGCAATCGTATTGACCGGCGACAGCCTATGACATCACTACTAGTGCGACCTGGAAGTATATAAGGGACACCTAGAGAACATGTCATCCTCTTTTCGTCTTCAGGGACCGTTTGGTTTGTACGCCTCAACCTGAAACTTCAAAAGGTAATCATGGCTTGTGAAAAATGCTTCAGTGCATTCAGTGTGTACATCCGTGTCCAAGATATTTGACACCTGATGACACACACAACTTATGTCCATTTACTGTTTGGGCGAAGAGAGCTCAAAATCAGTTATTGAGGGGGGCTGATGTAGCCTGGTTAAAACCAGACCATTCTCAGTTGTAACTGAGTTATAGTCTGGCAAAGCGTCATAGACAAATCATTTCCAGAGGGGCGTTACCAACGGACGTCGCGGATAGACCTAAACCAATCAGAGCGATGAAGGAGATGACGTATGCAGAGCGGCGGAGAAACATCTCCGAGTGTTGTTCTTTGCTCGGTTTTTAACAAAAAGGAAATGTTCAAATGGCTTAAAACAGACACGATAGCTGATTGGAACGAGTGATGTTCGACGGCGGCATCCATCTTTGTAATGTAGGCTACAAAATCTGCTTCAAAATCCCAGCGCTGTCGTCATCGTGTAAAGCCCGCCCCAACGCTTCTGATTGGTGCGTCGATTTCGACGGATTGGAAATGGGCTTGAATGAGCTCTTTGCCAGACTAACTTTCAGAGCAAATCTAAATTTGCCGGAAGTTGTCTGGGTTTTCCCAGGCTAGGGCTGATGTGCTAACTGTGAGATTTTTCATTTGAGAAAATTCTGCTCTCTTCTAGCCCACTTCTCGAGGGAAGAGGGACAGGCATCTGTGCCCGTCGGTTCTGGTCCCGCTCACGCTGAGGCAGAGCGGAGACTAAAATCATGGGGTTCTCAGAGGGAGCTCGCAAAGGAGTTTGAAAGAGGTATTAATCTCTCATGCCGCTCGGAGGCTCGCGAATTTGAGCTTCCGAATGAGGATGCGTTGTCACTAGTATCCTCTGATCCGCCAGCGAGTGCTCTGCTGGACAGCCCAAGAGAAAAGGAGATGGCTGATGAGGGTGAAGAGGATTTACAACCCAAACACTCACATCCACCCTGCCCCGCGTATGTTGAGTTGTGAGTGTTATGTAACGCGCCTCAGCGAGGCTTCAGCTGATGTTGGAGCATGCGAGGGAAAAGATCGCTTGTGGCAGACTTGATGAACGGTTTCTTTCCGGTCATAACGCTCCAGTTCCCATGAGCCTTCCATTCCTGCCCGATCTACACTATGAGATCGAAAGGCATAGAAGAACCCGTATTCAGCACGCATCCATCGCCATCAGCGAGTGAACTACGCTGATGTTGAGGGGATAAAAATGACATGGAAGACACGCTTAAATGGTAGGGCATACCTGGGGGCGGGTCAGGCTTGGTGCTGCCTTGGACACAATGGCTGTGTTGCAAGCATACCAGGCTGGGGTGCGTTTCCCAAAGCCAACTATGGTCACAATATCCGTCGTTACCAATAGAGTTCAATGGAAATTGCGATCATAGTTGGATAACGATGCTTTCGGGAAACGCACTCCTGATCTGCTAAAAGATTTGGACCAAGGTCAGGGTCTTTCCCCTGAAGCAGTGAACGAGCTGTGGCACACCACAGATTTAGCTCTCCAGGCCACCAAACAAACAGCCACCGCGATGGCGGTGATGGTGGCAGACTTGGCTGACATCGGGGAGAAAGAAAAAGCCTTTCTTCTCGATGCACCAGTGTCACCTTCTGAACCTTTCGGCAACTCCGTCGAGGCGGTGGTGGGAAAGTTCAGAGAGACGTAGGCGTGCTCGGCTCCATTTAAATCTTGCATCCCGGAGGGAATACTGTCACTGACCCGAAGGGGGAGTGTTTGGCAGTTCAGTGAAACTGCCATTTTCTGACGTTTTTGTCTCAGCCATAATAGCTTGTTTTCATATGACGATGAAATGCAAATGGAGGGCAGGAAGTGATTTGCTGTATTTAGAAAGCACTATAACAAACTCAAAATGCCTATGTTTTGCGTTGTTTATGGTTACTTAAATCGATCAAACCACGAGGAGTTTTTATCGTGTACCAAAAGTTGTTGTTCATAAGGGGGGAAATGCCAGAAATTGACCGAAAAACTCTGGGAAAACGGCTTGCAAACCTACGTCTGCGGTCGGGAGGAGCCGAATGGGAAAATCCCCGTGTGTGCAGTGATCACTTCGTCAAAGGTGAGTTAATACAACTTAAGTGGCTGTGTTTGTGTAACGTGTAACGTTTCCGAACTTTGTAAAGTCAAAGTATGTCTGTAAGACGAGGTAGTTGCTGATATCTAGCGCCTCGATGGCAGGATATCTTTCAATTCAGTTGAAAAATCGCTCCTCTTCATAACGTAAGGATCACGTCCAACATATGTTTGATTTTTTGTTTATATCTTTATCTTGTAATAGCGTGTAAAGTAGTACAGTACGGACTTTCCTCCATCTCGTCCATTGCGCTCTTCACTCCCTGCCCTCCATCTGAATTTCGCGCGTCATCATAATCACGTGACTGAAACCCAGCTATTGGCATGCACTCCCCTCAGCAGAGTGGGTTGGTATATCATTCCCCATAGCGTCATCGACGCAGTGCGAGTTCTCTTTTGAAAGGGAACGCCACAGGTTATGACTGCAACCTATGTTTCCTGAGAACAATGCAACCAAATAATCCAAATAATGGATTATTTGGTTGCATGTAAACGTAGCAAGTGTCATGGACGTAAGGGCAGATCAAGTTTAAATATCTTTTCTAGTCTATATTTCCATCTTGTAAGGCCACTGTTTTTTTATATTTTTTTTATATAAATATTTAAATATAAATGATTTGTAATAGAGCAGACACTTTGAGTTTTTTAATAGGTTATGTTATAGCCCTAAATGTTTTTAATGTTTTTAGGAAATATCTGTATTGACTGTATTATCATATCACCGTATTTTTTACCGCCATGCGAGCCACAAATTAAAGCTTGGTGAGCCGCGCAATGAGTAACACTGCTCTATAATGCTCTCCTGAATGTTTTTGTACAGTATCATTTCTGTTTCTTTAATTTAAATAAAGTAGGTGGTATAATTGGAAGAATTTTATTATTCTAGAAACATTTTTGGACTAAACTTCTTGTCAATATATAAGATTTTCCCGGGAGATAGAGACTTTAAATTTTAAATGCATTTGTTAAGTTTCTTTAGTGATCTTGTACAAGTTCACTATAGCATATAGTCATGGACTAAAATATATCGATTTCATGGGGTCTTTAAATGAAACTCTGAGAAGCTTCTCACCATCAGCACTGCAAAGAACGTCAGATGTGAACACGAGCACTTTATGGTGTCATTGTCGATTTTTACTGTCTCACAGCCGGACATCGTCCATTTTAGATTTCCTTCAAAGAAAAGAGAGCGGCAAATGAAATTGATTATATGAAATGACTTGATTGGAACTGATCAATACAGCCATAAGTTAATTTACCTTTGCCATCCCAAGAACTGCAGGATGCATTACCGACCTGTAAGAACATGTTTGATTTTTATTTTGCTTTCACAGTGTCTGGTAATTATTTTTTACATTTTCTTTTAAAAAAAAAACTTCATTACCAGATCTTTCTGTGTAAAGAACATTTCTATATTGCTGGTAAGGTTGGAGATATTGGCACCCATCGTTATTCCATAAACCTCATCGTTCAAAACAGTGTCATCCTAAATAAGAAACCATACAAGAATTAAAAAGCAATCATTAATAATCAAATATAAACGTTTGAATAGAACAGATCAAGTTTTGAATGATCTCATTGCACACATTACCTTATTTCTCATATTTTTGAACCTTAAAACTCCAACAAATGCACTTCCATTGTTTTCAAGACGTGATTTATCAAAGGCCTCGCTGGGAACATTTACAGACCAGGGAAAGTCTGCCTGCAGGTTATTCTTAACAACCTGTGGATTTTAAAGAATAATTAGCACTAATAAATGAAGAATCCTAGTCAGATGGACATGCTTTAATGCTTCTCAGGCCTTACGTTGATCATGTTCTGTTTTGAAGAGTAGCATATTTTAATGTCTTTGCTTTCTGTGTTCTTGGCTATTCTTTGGAGAACACCAATAATATCCCCCATCACAATCCCCGCATTGCTTTTATTGTTTGTTTCCATCTCCTTCACCCAGGAGTGCATTTTCTCCAGAATCTCTCTGCAAAGTTGATTGAATAACTTGGTATTCGTACTAGAGTCTATTACACTGTACTAGAGTTTTAGACTTTATTGAAACTGGTAACGGCACACTTACGATGCTTTTGAGGGTTTAGGTTTACTCCAGTCTGTTGTATTATCTGAAGATATATTTATAACAATCTCGGGTTGTGGAAGAGTGGGAGATTGATTCTGAGTTGTCGTGGATGGTGTGACACTGGTATCTGGATTGTTAGTGGTGGTGGGTGTCACTGGTGTGACAGTAGTTGATCTTTCATCAGTGCAGTTGACACACATCCATTCTGTCCCATTAAAATTTAGAAAATATTTGCTTCCTTGCGCTTCTACACAAATAAATAAATAAGAAATGGATTTGAATTATACATCTGTGCAATTGTGCAATAATTGAAAGATTAAAGGTTGTATCAGTGATTTCAGGCCTAAAAATAAATGTCTAATCTTTCCTAACGATCCGCTAGCTGCTCGCCCCATAAGCATGCCGTCTAAAAACCGCGTCTCTGTATGCAGCCTAGGCTCTGAGATCTGCACACAAAAACAAATGTGTACAACCACCACTCAAAACCAAAATAAAGTGTTCCAACCAATCACTGACAGGGGCGGGTGTTGTGAGGTTTTGCGCTCGTGCACGGCTGGACGCGAAATCGGAGCAACACCCGCCCCTGTCAGTGATTGGTTGGAACACTGTTTATTTTGGTTTTGAGTGGTGGTTGTACACATTTGTTTTTGTGTGCAGATCTCAGAGCCTAGGCTGCCTACAGAGACGCGGTTTTTGGACGGCATGCTTATGGGGCGAGCAGCTAGCGGATCGTTAGGAAAGATTAGACATTTATTTTTGGGCCAGAAATCACTGATACAACCTTTAAAGAAAGTGTTCTAATATGTCATATATCATAAGAAACACTGTTATTTCAGCATTATACAGTTGCATGTTCATATGCACTCTCAGAAAAAAGGTTCAATGTGGTTCTCTAAAGAGCTCTAGGGTTCTTGACTCTTTAAAGAGACCTTGATGTCAGAAAGGTTCTATATAAAGAGAAATGTCTTAAATGATTGCGTAATATTTTCGTGTTTAATGGGTTAAATCAATTTTTAATTGCAATCATAATTGCACTAAACAGTTTCAACTTCTCATGAACGAATTACTCATGCTTGTCAAAGCAAGTAGATTCTATGTTTAAAAGGTTAAGGAACCCTAATATTACCCTAATCTTATAACTTAATGATTTTTAACTGGAAAAAAGACATATGCATGTTCTACATGCTGTAGGCCTACTTTATTTATTTTGATAGATTGAACTTTGATGGGTGTGTGAAACTTTAAGTAGTTTATAGACACAGACTCACCGCTGCATGTATCATTGCCATATGTTGCATTTTTACAGCTCTCTCCAGGATTAACAGAGGGGATTTTCGAACAACCTCAATAAACCATGACAACACATAATTGTGTCAGACACAGTGTTATGATTTGTACATCTTTGTATACTAAGAACAGCATGAAGGTATTACAGTTTTTTTCAATTGCTTACACACTAAAATTAAATCTTTCCCACTATTAGCAAAACCTTACACTCAAGGACCAAAACACCAGCCTAGATTTGCACAATTGTAAGCACGTTGTCAGCTTCACCCTTTTTGCAAAACATTACACACAGTAATTTGTAAAACTCTACACACATTTTCACACCTTAGACACAGTTAAGGATTGTGAGATTACTTCCTTGTCATTACAAAGCCCCGGTTTGCCATTGACCACACTAATGAATGAATTGGATATACACATCCACCAGGTGTGGAAGCACACATGTGCTAATTTGAAAACGCAGCACTCAGGTGTGCTATAAAAGGCAGCAGGTGAGTTCACCTGTCTTCAACAAAAATGGAAGGAGCTAGAAGAAGAAGAAGAAGAAGAAGTGTGAGAATAAGAGGGGGAGCTCAAAGAGGAGGAGAAGGAGGTAGAGGAAGAGGTGAAGGAGGTAGAGGAGGAGGAGAAGGAGGTAGAGGAGGAGGCCCAGGTAGAGGAAGAGGAGAAGAAGGAGATAGAGGAAGAGGAGAAGAAGGAGATAGAGGAAGAGGTGAAGGAGGTAGAGGAAGAGGAGATGAAGGAGGTAGAGGAAGAGGAGAAGGAGGTAGAGGAAGAGGTGAAGGAGGTAGAGGAGGAGAAGGAGGTAGAGGAAGAGGAGATGAAGGAGGTCGAGGAAGAGGAGAAGGAGGTAGAGGAAGAGGAGAAGGAGGTAGAGGAGGAGAAGGAGGTAGAGGAAGAGGAGATGAAGGAGGTAGAGGAAGAGGAGAAGGAGGTAGAGGAAGAGGAGAAGGAGGTAGAGGAAGAGGAGAAGGAGGTAGAGGAAGGGGTGAAGGAGGAGAAGGAGGTAGAGGAAGAGGAGATGAAGGAGATAGAGGAAGAGGAGAAGGAGGTAGAGGAAGAGGAGAAGGAGGTAGAGGAAGAGGAGAAGGAGGTAGAGGAAGAGGTGAAGGAGGTAGAGGAGGAGAAGGAGGTAGAGGAAGAGGAGAAGGAGGTAGAGGAAGAGGAGAAGGAGGTAGAGGAAGAGGAGAAGGAGGTAGAGGAGGAGAAGGAGGTAGAGGAAGAGGAGAAGGAGGTAGAGGAAGAGGAGATGAAGGAGATAGAGGAAGAGGAGAAGGAGGTAGAGGAAGAGGAGAAGGAGGTAGAGGAAGAGGAGAAGGAGGTAGAGGAAGAGGTGAAGGAGGTAGAGGAAGAGGTGAAGGAGGTAGAGGAGGAGAAGGAGGTAGAGGAAGAGGAGATGAAGGAGATAGAGGAAGAGGAGAAGGAGGTAGAGGAAGAGGAGAAGGAGGTAGAGGAAGAGGAGAAGGAGGTAGAGGAAGAGGTGAAGGAGGTAGAGGAGGAGAAGGAGGTAGAGGAAGAGGAGAAGGAGGTAGAGGAAGAGGTGAAGGAGGTAGAGGAGGAGAAGGAGGTAGAGGAAGAGGAGAAGGAGGTAGAGGAAGAGGTGAAGGAGGTAGAGGAGGAGAAGGAGGTAGAGGAAGAGGAGAAGGAGGTAGAGGAAGAGGTGAAGGAGGTAGAGGAGGAGGAGAAGGAGGTAGAAGAAGAGGAGAAGGAGGTAGAGGAAGAGGTGAAGGAGGTAGAGGAGGAGAAGGAGGTAGAGGAAGAGGAGAAGGAGGTAGAGGAAGAGGTGAAGGAGGTAGAGGAGGAGGAGGAAGAGGTGAAGGAGGTAGAGGAGGAGAAGGAGGTAGAGGAGGAGGAGGTAGAGGAAGAGGTGAAGGAGGTAGAGGAGGAGGAGGAAGAGGTGAAGGAGGTAGAGGAGGAGAAGGAGGTAGAGGAGGAGGAGGTAGAGGAAGAGGAGAAGGAGGTAGAGGAGGAGGAGAAGGAGGTAGAGGAAGAGGAGAAGGAGGTAGAGGAAGAGGTGAAGGAGGTAGAGGAGGAGAAGGAGGTAGAGGAGGAGGCCCAGGTAGAGGAAGAGGAGAAGAAGGAGATAGAGGAAGAGGCCTAAGGAAGAGGTAGAGGTAGAGAAGGACTTGAAGAGTTGATAGAACCTGAACAAAGAAGACGAGGACCAAATTTGACTCAAGAAATCCGTGCAACACTTATTGACCATGTTATCAACCATGGACTGATGGAAGCTGGACAAAAAGATCAACCAAATCTCTGGTTGACACTGTAACTGAATAGTTACAGTATTCTTGTTGCTTTTACAGTAGTTTTTCTTCAGAGTCAAACTGTATGTACTTCATGCATTCATTTTTATTTGTCTACAGATTTTATTTTTTTCATTGATTTCTTTGTTGGTTGATTACTGAAACTGATTATGGTAAGAAATACTGTAAATAAATACTTGAAATATGAGTCTGCAGAGATCAGTGTTGTGCAGTGCTTGGTAAGTTTATAGTAGGCCTATTTGTGTACATTCTCCCTATATCTCAAACTAATCATGAAGAATGTTGTGGGTTTGTCACTATTTTTTTTTTTTCATCTAAATTATCCCTTACATAACAATGTCTGGCCAAAAATCTAGCACATGCTATTTCCTAAAAATAGTTTTTTTACAAATGTGTTTTTTATTTATCACAGCCGTGTGAAACTGGCTGCAATAGTGTCTGATCATTGAGGACTGTGTTGGTTAAATGAAAACTAATAGCATTTTCACAAATATGCGTATATCTTTTGACTGAAGTGTGTATGTTTTGACAGAAGTGTGTCATTTTGCAAACAATCTAGGAATTATGCAAATTGAGTGTGGTGTTTGGATAATTGTGATTAGATTTTGAAAATAAGAACCCAGTTTTCAAAATTGTGTGTAAACAATTGAAAAAAACTGTAAAAGACAGGAATAAAACACTACAGAATGTCCGTGAATATCAATCACAAATGTTACAAGGGAACCAGTAGTGGTAACAGTCTCGAGTGTCAGTGATTATAGTTTACCGTAGTAACACCGTATGTACACAGGGCACCATAAATTACAGGAAAGTTGCATCACGAGCGCACTGTCTTCACTCTTATTGGTTGTTGCTCAGAAAAGTCGCTCTTCATTTGCATAAAGTTAAACGTATCGCAGCGGTCACTGTCGCTTGTTTCGCCAGAAATCGCCAGCTCTCCATTGAAATTAATGTGATCATATCACTTTGTCGCTGGCGGTGTGAACAGGACTTAAAGGGAGCATCAGACCAAAACACAACATGACAACATCAACATCAGTTGAGGGCTGCAACTGCACTTTTTAAATGACAATATCCTGGCCAGACTACTGTTGTCAGTGATATAAGTATTTGAAATGAACATGATTTCTTAATGTCTAGTGACATTTCAGGGCCATTTTATGATTAATTGAAATACATTTCTTACATACAGCTCCTTTAAAGGGATAGTTCACACAAAAAGGTTATATAAGATTATCCCCTAATTTACACACCCTCAAGCCATCCTAGGTGAATATGACTTTCTTCTTTCAGACGAACACAATCAGAGATATCCTGTCTCTTCCAAGCTTTATAATGGTAGTGAATGGGGGTGAGATTTTGAAGCCCAAAAAAGTGCATCCATCCATGATAAAAGTAATCTATACGACTCCAGTGGGTTAATAAAGACCTTCTGAAGCGAAGCCATGCGTTTGTGTAAGAAAAATATATATATTTATAGCTTAATAAACTATAATCACTGGCTACTAGCAACGGCCGCAGGCGAGTCTATTTCCGACCCATGAACTCTGACCCGACGCATGATCTCTGACCCGACACACGACCTCTGACCCGACGCATGAACTCTGACCCGACACACGACCTCTGACCCGACACATGACCTCTGACCC